GCATCCCAAGCACACTGTTGTCAGACTCCCCATTGTTCTCGGTGCTCTTGGTTTGGTACCTCCTTATCTCTTGGCGCAGATCTTGGCCCTTCTGACACTGCAGAAGGCTGCAGTGTTTTGGAGTCTACATATTAATATATCATGACTCTAATATCCCCAATGAAATTAAATGTATGAATGTTTAAGATTAAGGCTGATTAGTAATATATGGAAATATATTGTTTTGAAACTCGTGCTTATATTTATCATCTCTCATGACTATTATTATTTATCAAACCGATATGAAGCTTAACTATATCTGCAAAAAGAAATAGATCAACAGAAAACATATTCAGTAGGAAAGCATGGACGCCGTCATGTAAACAAACGCAGATGCATGAATTTGAATAGCTTGTATGCATGGACTATCTCATTCAACAACTTTAATTTATGCAACACAGTTCTGAATAAACAATGCCATTTAGAAAGCGGTCAAATGTAACATATGTTATATCTGGGATTACACTTCCTCAGTAGACTCTAGTACTGTTTGAGGTTGAGTCCCTTACGGGATTCAGCAATGGCTGAATGGGCTAGATCGCTAACGTTGATGTAACCCGCTCAGGCATAGCTGACGTTGTGTGCTAGCGATGAGGTGAACTCTGAGAGTGTGGGTCAAACGTAGAAACATAATTGGGGAGACCGGGATTCGAACCCAAGGTCATAGACTTTTGGCGACGCAGCTCCTCACATCGCAATGCTACATCTTAGACGACGCCAAATTTCAAACAAATCCTTGCAGAAATTCTGGGGATAACCCGCCATCAACTTACAGACAAAAGGAGTCTTATACACAGGGTCTTGTAACGCAAAAACACTAGCATCAAGACATATATTGTCCTATATGGCAAAGATCCCGTCTGTAACAATATACACCTTGATTCAACGTTTGTGTCTTTTCAGGGTTTTATTTTTTGTCGGTCGGATTCTTTTCGTTACAAGCCCCTGTTGTCTTCTAATAAGTTTACCGCTTCGGAATGGAGACGGCAAGTAGATAGTGTTGGTCATTGATAGCAGACCTTTCCTGACTATTCCATTGTCAACCTGGCAACATGCAAAATGGCGAGGTTACCGGATGATATATACAAGTGGTAACGAATGCTGACAGAGGGAACGTGCTTGCAATCTCAACAAGGCGACTCAGATATAGCACAAACATATCTCTTATATAAGTCATTTATATTCATGATGAAAACGTACAATTAGTGTTGTATGAGCTCACCAGTAAAGAGGATTAAAAAATCAGGCTATTAAAAATCTAGTTTACAAAGCACCGTTTAAATGCGAATTTCTACATTCCGCTATATACTGTTTACACTGATTCATTAGTAGTGGTATGTCGTATTGGCATATGTTTTACATTTGTCCTGAATTCTGAAAACATTCCATTGCTGCAATCATACAGTCAAACGTTTGGCTCTCTAGACCATTCGGATTCATTGTAAAATGCAACAATATAATACCTAGCGAATTAAGCTGAAGAATATGGTCAGAAGCTTCGAACCCGTGAAGGGGCGGTGGGGTAGCCTAGTGGTTAAAGCGTTGGCTCGTCACGCCGAAGAAGCGGGTTCGAATCCCCACATGGGTACATTGTGTGAAGCCCATTTCTGGTGTCCCCCGCCGTGATGTTGCTGGAATCAGTCAGTCAGTCGAACCCGTGAAGTTCTGGGTTAGAATTGGTCTTCAGCAGCCCATGCCTGTCATAAGGGACGGTTAGCGTGATCGGGTGGTCAGACTTGCTGATTTGGTTGACACACGTCATTGTATGCTCATGTTGGTGATCACTGGATTGTCTGGTCCAGACCCGAATATTTTAAGATTGATGCCATATAACTGTAATACTGCGGAGTGCGGCGTTAAACAACAAACAGAAACCTCGAATTAGTAAAACTAGATTTTCACATCCGTGTTTGTGGATAGGCGGTTGTCTTGGTTGATTCATGCTATCGTATCCTATCCTCCGATCATAATGTCTATGACTGGATTGTCTCGTGGGGACGGGATTATTCACAGATTATCGTCTTGAAAACAGTTCTGTCCATAAATAAACCGACATAGATATAACGAATATGGACGGGGCTTTTTTTAAAATCTATGCGTGATGACAACACGTACAAATTTACACTGTCGTGATCACACTGGATATTGCATGCGCATCCCGGCTATTGCATGCTTAAAACTGCATCAGTAGGAAATTCGCAAAACATTTAAAGTGCACGTGAAACCAAGTCAGTTAAAGTACAGTTTCTTTGAAGTTTTTTAACTGTTAAAAGAAAGTTGGTGACGTGAGTTTAGTTTTACGCCACACTCAATATTCCAGCTATAGGGCAGCGGTCTGTAAACAATCGAGCCTTGGCCAGATAATCCAGTGATCAACAGCATGAGTATCCTTCTACACAATTGGGATACGAAGACGTGTGTCAACAAAGTCAGCGAGCCTGACCACCCGATCCCGTTAGTCGCCTCTTACGACAAGCATGGGTTGCTGAAGACCAATGCTAACCCGGCTCTTCACGAGTTAAAGTTGGTGAAAGCCAAAAATTGTGTACCTTGTGCCACACTTATTTCAAAATGAGCGGCTGCGTGCGGTTGGAATTGCACAAAACCTGATTTTACAATGTGTTCTGGCGTTCATCGTAACACCATACAGACCGGCAACACCCAAACACATTCCAGTAACCTTCAGGGCGGCAACTTCACGTCGGCAAGATAATCATGTCTGTCTGCTCACCTGCGAAATGGATTCGACCGCCTGCTGCCTGGCATGGTAAGGGCATGTACCACTGTTTCACTTTTAAACAGACAAGTCCAGGTGTTAAATTGACAACGAGGATGGCCTTCATGGAGCGCGTTTAGACGTTGGATGGAACGTTGCTCTGAACATTCGCTCCGAATTCCAAACCCACTGCGTCTGTTCGTGGTCCAGATCGAGAATCACATCCCTCAATTCTTCTTCTGGCATCGTCAATGAAGCGCCGTTTTCAAGCTTGAGTCACTGCTGACGACCATGTCCGATACTGATTGGTCCCACTTTCAGCCTGACAGCAGGCTGCTGACAGTTAGGGACGTTTGTTGAAACTGACATGTTCATGGACATCAGAATGTTGTTGTTCAAAATAGTTCATTGTTTTTGTATATGTGTGATATATCCCTGTGACGCACGCGAACCTTTTCCCCTACTAGTTTTGTATGTACATGTAACTGGGTACGGCAGTACTGACTGACTGACTGAGTTTGGTTTTACGCCGCTTTTAGCAATATTCCAGCAATATCACGGCGGGGGACACCAGAAATGGGCTTCACTCATTGTACCCATGTGGGGAATCGAACCAGGGTCTTCGGCGCGACGAGCCAACGCTTCAACCACTAGACTACCCCACCGCCCCGGTACGGCAGTAAACGGAAAACCCAATCAAGATGAGACGAACGACATTGGACCCGTAAGATTATCAAACTGGTCAACATTGTATTTCACGAACTATTTCAAGTACGAACGACCCTAATGTCAGACATTTGTGCATACATCCTGATACCAGCCTTTTTCTCATTATCTCGACATGGACTTTGATCTCGCAAACACGGATTCTAATCTAGAATATGTTATGAAATGTCTCCAAACCTTTTTGCCTTGCACAAGTTGACACATAAAAGGCACAGACTTTGATAAGTGGGAGAGGTGAGGGGTTGATTTAGTATGGAGACTAGACATATACATTTTAGGCATAATGCAAAACTAGATATATTTCAAAAGAACTGGTAGCCCTAAAGTTTCTTTTCAAGAGTTGGAATCCAGCTCCAGCTTCCTGTAATCGTCAGGGATGATACATTCTTTTGTGATACTCAGACTTATTCTCAGAGTGAGTGAGTGATTATAGTTTTACGCAGCTTTTAGCAATATTCCAGCAATATATCACGGTGGGGATCACCAGAAATGGGCTTCAGACATTGTGCCCATGTGGGGATTCGAACCGGGTCTTCAGTGTGACGAGCAGACGCTTTAACCACCAGGCCACCCCCATTCTCAGACAGATATTCAGCAGACTTACTGCTACATCCTCTGTAAAAGTCTCAGATGGGCTGGCAGACCGGTTATTGACACTATGAGAAACAAATCATGATACGATGAAACACAATCACGAATTACAACCACTGGATCTATTGTGTCCAAGTATCGCTAAGATCCCTCCGGCGTTCAGAGGTAATCGATAGCCCCATGTCATTCGCCCATGGTATGGATCTTTGCTCACAGTTTCCATCACTGGATTTTCTGGTACAGAATCCCTTACATACAGACCATTGTCATGTAGCCGGAATATTTCCCAGTGCAAGTTAATAAACAAACACACCATCTTGTGTCAGGATATCCAATGACATATCATGATGTATCACTGTGTATCCTACTGCCAGATTACGATTTCCCATTTATTCATGAACTGTGAAGATCCAAGTTAGAATTGGTCTTTAGCAACCCATGGTTGCCCTAAGAGGCGAATAATGACACTTCATCATATCCCAATTGCTTAGATCGATTGTCTTGTCTAAAACTGGATTATCTAGTCCATACTCAATTATTTAAAGATTCAAGTCATATAGCTGGAATATTGCTGAGTGCAGCTTAAAACAAACAAACAAAACCACTTGTTCATGCCTCCAGAAAATATATTGGTCGTTACAATGACTCAATATCAGTATTAGTCACAGAACCTGAGCACTCCATACAAATTCTAACTTAATCCATACTAGCAGGTAAAAAATACATTTCAAAATGAGTGAGATAGTTCGGAAACATTATCCCATGGGCATCACATACACAAATAACTAAATCTTACATTTTGTGATGGAAAGGCTGTTTGCTTATGTAGTAGTAGTAGGCTTCATAGTGTCCACAGTATTATGTCCACAGATTCCTGAAGCTATTTTCATCACATCTGTTTACTTGTAGCATGTTAACTGAAAGAAGATTAGTCTTTAATATTGTTTTATTTCTGCTGATATTTTATGGACAAGGACATCAAAATGTACAACAAAACATTTCAAAATGTCAGTATGACAGACAACAATGTGTGTATTTAGAAACAAAGAAGTTCATCTTCCCGCTTGATCAGTATAGATGAGAGGTGTTGGTACATGGTCGATGAGGGGAACCGATACACATACATCATGTTCTATGGTCAACTCATTATACACCATTAGCTGGACACCACCAGCTGAGGTGTACATCACATGATCTGTCACAAGGAGATTCCATGAGTTTTTGATTGCATGGGTGATGATTGGATGAAGTGCATTGTGATACCACTAGTTATACCACATTGATATACCACTAGCTATATCCGTCTCTTCTGTGTGCTGATGTATAACACTGAAAAAAAAGAGAGAAAAATTCCATTCAATTAAATTCACACTTTTAACGAATACCTCAAGTATTATCTATGTAATGTTAAGTCTATATACTGGTTTCCTACAAATTGTAATTCCATTTCCAAATAGGTGAGTACAAACAAGAAACAAATGTGTCTGCCCTCCGGTGATATTGTCTGGTTTGATTTAGCATGTTTAGCAGACCAGTTGTCATTTGAGAAAAAACTGCTCAAAGGGTCTTTCTAATTGGACAAATAATGTTGTCCTTGTGCATTGACATTCACCCTATCGATAGCATAACCACGAGGGAAGGAAGTGGGTCCAAGCCTTAAGCTACCAATACATCCCAATGTTCAGCATGAGAAGGAAATTCACCTGTTAGATAGTCATTATTCAGTAATTTATATGTGAGAAAATATGGATCAAGGCCACCTGCAGTATTGCAGGAATATCATGGCAAAAGAGACATCCAACTTTTGGCATACTGCATGAAGAGCTTTAGTTAAACCCCATGGTATCACTGTTTGTTTGTTAACTGCACTCAGCAATATTCAAGCTATGGCGGTCTGTAAATAATCAAGCCTGGACCAGACAATCCAGTGATCAACAGCAAGAAAGTCAATCTATGCAATTAGGGTACATTGACATGTGTCAACCAAGTCAGCGAGTCTGACCAACCCATTCCTTTAGTCACATCCTACGACAAGCATGGGTTACTGAAGGCAAATTCTAACCTGGATCTTCACAGATTCATGGTATCACTGAAACTACTAAACTCACTATCAGTATCACTATTTGATCAAGCCAACAAGGGGAATGTGTTTTAAGGAAAAGGGGGAAAAGAACCATGGTATCGCTGAAAATATTAGGCTCATTACACATGTGACATGCTCAATTATATTTGCACCTTTTGATATAGAAAATATACATAATGTTCATTCAGGGAAAGTGGGATAGAATTTCAGTTTTCTCTGATACTAGTTAAACGCTAACATTTTTAAAAGAAAATCCAATCAAACTTGACAACAAAACACTTCATTCTTGCTCAAAGAGCTACCATTCATTCAATGGATTCTTAAAATTATTACCATTATTTCCTCTGATAAAAGCATCACCATATTTATTTTTCAACTGCCCATTGACATACTCCTCTGTCTGTTCCAAGGCGATGTTCATGTATCCATCCAAACAAGCCAACACTCCTGCAACACCACAAACATGGATGTGATAATATCTGACACAATAATACTTATATCACAGTTGGGACTTATCAAGATATCCAAAGAGGTGGAAAAATGACCTCATTGTAGCAAACGTCAGCAAAATTTCATAAACCGGAGGTGCAGGTCTTTGCTAAGGTGACTCTTATACAAATAACAGGAATGCGATATAACTTGGAATCTCAATTGTAAAATTATGGTACTCTAGACACAGCTTATTTCATATTTGTTTCTTATCACAGTAAAGAGATTGATGTGGGTTTTATGCTTCTTTGCAAAGCATTTCAGTAAAATTATTTTCTGAAAGCTTAAAAGGTCACATGCAGCGTAAAAACACAACTTTGCAGATTCTGATACCTTTTCGGTATGGACTTACCGGAAACAAAGCGTCAAAATGCAAATTCAACTTATAAAGTTGAAAAATAGCGATGAAAAAGAAAACGCGTCGCGAAATCGGAGTTCAAAGCGTTTCACTAATTTTCCCCAGACTTTTCTGGGGAATCACGGAGTTTCAACAGCTGGGCTGCGCTCATAGCACGTCGCCAGTGAAATAGGTTTAGCGCAACTTGGAGGCGGGCTGTCTGGTGAATACTCGGTGAAGGCTTTGGTGTGAGCTATTTTCATAATGTTTTGTTGATATCTCACAGTAGCGAGCTTTTTGTATGTTATGACAGTAAATAAACTGTTTATATAATTTCATTTGTCTATTTCACCACACGTTCTTCTTACGAGTCACTTTCTCAGTTCGATACTTAAAAGCAATGTCATTATTTAGAGTTGACACAATTTCTAACTGTGATATAGATATGTAAGCTGTCACAGACAAAACTCAATGTCTTGTTTTATTGACACCTGTGTGTCTGCCTGCCTGTCTGCTAATGACAATATTCAATACACAACTGCGATCACTGACCACATGCAATTTGAACTTAACACCAATCAGGCTATACACCATAAACAAAGCGCATTGATTTATGGCCCGAGTTTGGTCTCTGTCACATTATGTAATTACACAGACAGGCAGGTGTGATACTTGAACACATGACATGTTATGATGTCTGTTGATTGCAAAATGTTATACACAAAAAATGAGCATGTATTTACAAAACCCAACTCTCTATATATATACACACACAATGAGCCGTGAAGGCGGCATCTGCTAATGAACCAGCCGTTACACTTGAGTGCACACCCACCCGCTCTGACTGGGTTGGTATCCCGGCTGCTTCGTTTTGAGGGGAGGTAAACCCAAGTACAAAATATTGCACTTTTGAAAGCTTAATGTCAGAGGAAAGCAAAGGAGAGGGGCTGTATACAATGACAACTTTGGTGAACTCACAAGCATCAGTACAGTCGTGACAAACCTGAGGTAGTTTTTGCAGTACCATGTCATACTGTGCGCAGACCCCGCCATCAAATGAAGTTTCATTTTCAAGTTTTCATCATTGAAAATTTAAATAAAACCAATCACAATAAGATCACTCCTATTTCTCCTCACCTCGATAATCTACCCCCGAGTTCAGCTTCACCATGACAGGGCGACCAATAATTTGCTTCAGGAACTCACTGGGTGTCTGCTTACGACTCATTGTCAATCAGCTGAAAGAGAGGCGCAACTATAGGATGGCTGAGTGAGTGTTCTTCAGTCAAGGCTACTTTGAACAGTATTACCTGTTGAGCAAGTTTCTGACATTTACCACATTCCCTTAAACAACATGCATGGGTATGGTGCTGACATACCAATGATCATAATTGTGGAGATTTTAGGATTTGAACCCATGGTCATAGGACAATTACACACAACTAAGTAATTCAACTCTGCTGATACGAGCAAGGATGGCACTATCATCATAGCATGTGTCAGGCCCTGATTTCTCGAAACAAACTTAAGTCCAAGTTTTGACTTAAATTCGAGTTTTTACTCAAATTTGTGAAAAGGCAGGAAAATGCATTTCCCAGAATGAACTGAAATCGATATCAAACTCAAACATAGTAGACAATTTGAGTTTAGTGGATAGATTACTTAAATTGTTTTGGGCTTTTTTATTTTAAAAATGCAGTTGAGTTAAACATTCAGCTGTTTCAAATTGTCAAACTCAGTTTGAAATTTGAGTAAAACCTAAGTTTGTTTCTAGAAATCGGGGCCTGGTTTGTCTCAAGTTAAAGGTTTATAGAATGCCAGGATGAAGACTAACAGCTCATCTCTGAAATGAACATATTTTACAGAAAATAAAAGTTTTTAAATTAAAATCATTAATACAATAAAAAGTAGCCCGGAGACTTTCTTAGGAAATCTAGACTTGCCACATTTTCTAGACTTGCGTGGGCTTTCTTGGATATATTTGCTTCTGGGTCTGTATGACAGACTAGCCAGGATGCTGACAGCACTCCTCATATTTTATCAGTATCCAGAGTAGAAACTGTCTTCGGTTAAGTTCCTGACACTGGGATATACACCACTTACTCACCAAAACACAAAAATACCCTGTTATATTTAGGATTACACTTTCTTGTACTGTTATCAAACCAATTTGATTCAACACTGAGCAGGTGTTTTTGATTTTCAGATGGGACACTACACAAAAAAGTAGAGTTGGATCATAGGTTTTCGGACATCATATATTTTCAGATTGTCAGTGCTTACCCCGACTATAATGTGGCATGTCACGTCACGCAAACATTGCAATTCAAAGTCTTGAATAATGGCTCATTGTTTAGGATAAAGATATCTTTTAGTGAGATGTTATATAATCGTTCTTGTAAGTCCTGTAATTTGAAAGAAAACAACTAATGTTCCTTTAGTGTCCATAATACGAGGATACTAGGCTTAGAATTTGAAGTTTGAAAGTGTTAATACTGTTATCCCAAATTTTGTTCCTCCCGTTCCCCCATCCCTAATGATATCGAGATCCACAAAACTATTAACAAAACCTAACAATTAATAAAGAACTCACAAAAATAACTAAAAGCCCAAAACTTAATTACAATATATAGGGTCGAACCACGTTGTATGATAAGGGCCCCCCAAATGCATTGTGATTTAACAAAATACAAACACCCGAAAAGACAAAAACTGTAGTGGTCGTGTGAAGTAAATCAGTTCACATGTAACCATTGTGGGATACAAGCCAGTAAATCACATGCACCATGTAGTTGTCTTGTGAAACATAGAAACTTAGTTTTCCGCGAACTTAAGTAATCTAATATGTTGTTTTCCACATGTCACATATCAGTCAGAGTTATCAACCTGCCTTACATGTCAGTATAAGAAGAGTGTTTGTAACGTTTTCTTTCCACAAACGAACTGGTAATCTAACCTCTCGCGAGATTTGGAGAGGGTGCTGGTTGAGCAATATGCATGACATGTGACTTATCACGCGAGATTCAACATGGCAGCCTCCATTGCCATGATGCGCAATTTTCAGACCTATTCTGCCAATTTTATATATAAAACGTTGAGAAACAAAGGAAGAATACCACAACGCAATAAACACAGCAGTATACTGCTTTATGAAAACTCGTCAAATGGTACCGTGCGTTTTGTCAGACGGTTTTGTACAAATGCAACGAATTGTATATTCGAAACTCACAGAAGCAGACGAATATTTTCGACATCAACTGTCAGGTTCTACTCATCAGGCAGAAAATGCTGGAAATGTAATAGAGACACATCTGCCTCATCGGAATTGTATTTCTGTGAATGTGGTGTTGTTCAAGCTTCCATCAGTGATATGAACTATTTCTCTCTCTTTGGCATTGACATAACCTTTGACATTGATGAACAGTCTCTCTCAAGGATGCACAAAGACCTCCAGATGAAACTACACCCAGACAAGTTCACTCTAAAATCAGAGGTGACATGATTCAGGCATACAAGTTAAATTGCCATCAGACATGCAAGATATGGGTTCATTTATCAATGTTTGTTACACCACAGAATTGTGAAAAATGTCCATGTTAGGATCCTAACATACTGAAGCTGTTGTAACCACAGGTACTACAGAAATGTGCCCCAGGACGAGTCCATTCCGCATTGTGCCGTTTTCTTGATCAGGACTATCCTTCTGTTGTATATATAAGTAATGAGTATTTCGCGATGCACAATACCACTTGCGATCAGGCAAACAGGAACAACTAACTACACATGGTTTTGGTTTTAGATTAAGGAATATGGAGTCGTCCGCCGTTTAGATTACAGGATACCCTTCTGTATTTTAACTTTGTTTAGGGTACATTTCTGTATACAGAAACGCACCTGGGGTACACATCTGTAGTACCTGTGCCAAAAACGACCCCTTCAGTGATACTAACAACATGGTACCCAGCTAACACATACAGGAATTCTTACAGTACCCAGATATACCATATATTACCGTAGTTAAGCTGGTCTCATAGATAAGCCGATCCCCTAATTTGACCCTTAAAATCAGTATCAAAATTATATGTTTCGTACATAATCCGACCTTTGCGATGGGTTCCTAGTCGTGGCCAGCTCAGACCACAACCTGTTACAAGACAACTGGCAGTTACAGACAATTATAACTTTGGTCCGCATTATTCACAGAAATCACAATCATATTGTATCACCTCGTGCCTCGAAATGTAGGTGACAGAAAATGGATATGTATATATATTCTGTTACGCTGAATGTCATATTTATTGTAGCTGGACGATCACATGTCAACAAACTGGCATGCTTATTTCACCTAATTCCATGCACGTACAACTTCCGCTTACCACGTTCATGAGGGTATGCTTTTCACTCCAAAGGCGATAAAAAAAAATACCCAGTAAGGGGAAGTGTAGTTACATGATAATGAAGATTTCATGATGTCACTCCAAGTGGGAAACACGTGATTCATTCATAACAGCTATTCATTTAAGGCGGTCTTCACCCTCCTCCCAGGTCGGTGGGGTAGCCTAGTGGTCAAAGCATTTGCTTGTCATTGCGAAGGCCCGGGTTCAATTCCCCACATGGGTACAATGTGTGAAGCTCATTTCTGGTGTCCCCCACCATGATATTGCTGGAATATTGCTAAAAGCGTCGTAAAACCATACTCACTCACTCACTCACCCTCCTCCCAATAGAAATTAAATCTCCGAAAACACATTTTAGTACTTGGTAATGATCAAGAAAGCTGTAAAACTATTGTAATTTGTAAATATCCTCCTGTTATGGGTTTTCAGACACTTAAGAACATCTGTTGTTGTATCGATTATGAAACATGTCTCTAACTTATTGAAGATAACTTTAACTAAGCACAAGCCATAATTCAAGAATATATGTCTGTGTGAAGCAACACCCTTGTTACAGCCCAAGTGAACACTGCCAACAGAAAACATATGATCCAACGACAATATAGATAATCTTGAATGTGATGTGAGATGTTGTCATAAATCTAGTGTTGAAAATTTACAGACTTACAGAGGTCCTTACAAATACCATAGAAATCCTTAACATGCTTAGGGCCCCAGCAAATGGCGGTCATTTAAGGCTCTCATCAAATGCATTTGATTTCAACAGTTATCCTGTCCAATGTCAATGTCTCACAGACATATATATTAGATAGCGCAGCAACGAATCCACTAAGACACACGTCACAAATACTGGATAATGCATACGAATACTGGCAAATACAATAACAAGTCAGCAGTTGATGTAATATTCAATGAAACAATAACAAAATACATTATTTGACATGTTTTACCATGTTGACAGTGTTAATTTATCATGACAATGACCAGTGACCATTCAGTTTAAATATAAAAGAGTGTTGACTATCATCCTGACTGGCATAGATATATTCCATTTAGCATATCTCATTTTGATAAATAACACTCAAATTCAAGTGAAAACACTTATCTTTATGAAATCAACAAATTTTCGATTCAAGTGATCACAAATAACAAATTGAATTTGTGAAGGGATACGGTTCGATTAACTGAATATACAGTAAGACTATAGAATACCTTCCATTATCTTTGAAAGCACACAAGTTTACTTTTGGTTAGGTTTAGGGTCAGGGTTAGGGTGACGTGACGCTAAACGATATGGCTGGTAGGTATCCGGCAGGGATTGGGAAAGGCAGGGGCCATGGGCCATTTTGCACATTAGAAAAAAAAATGGCCCATTAAAATTTTGAAGTTTACGATTGATGCAAGGGCAGTGGCCCATTCTAAATTCAGAAAATGGCTAATCATCCTGAAAATGGCCCATTGTCAAAGTTCTCTTTCCCAATCCCTGTATCCGGTATTCTGTAGGTGTACCGAATATACCAGTGAATCATTACAGCCCTGATATTCGGTACATATTTGTTTGTGTATATTTAGATTGTTAATATACTCATCAGAGCTACAGATAACTTTTTGGGTCATAGAGTTATGTACTCGCTTGTGTTCATCTCAGTTGGGTATCCTAATTTTCCTTTGAGTAACCAAATAAATTGTACTCACCTCATTCAAAGACATTTGGGTATTTTGCCACTTTCCATTAATATTAAAAATGTAATAAAGTTTAAATGTTAGTGTTTGTGATTTATATTTTATCTGTATTATGAGAAACTGCAAGTTGTCAAGTCCATTTCCTGAAATAGAACCTCTCAGTATACCTCAGTTATTTTATCTATCCCCTGGTACGCAAGCTAAGATTTGACATTTTTGTATGTACGCATGTAAGATCACATTTATTGAGTATTTACAAAAGTTCAAGCATACTTGTATGCAATAGACTTAATAGGAATTAAGTTTTCACATAAATATTTGCGTAATTTACGCAGATACGCAGCTTATCTGTACCTCTGACTCATGGAAACGAATAAGGGAACACCTGAGAGTACGAGTGTTCCTTTATTCTTTTCCAGGTTTCTTCACAAACTTTGTGGGTGAAATTCTGGAAAAGAATAAGGGGAACACGTACTTTCATGTGTTCCATTATTCGTTTCCATGAGTACAGTGTTCACGAATGGTGTTTCAAAGTCACAGGACATTGGGTCCTGTAAGTTTCAGATGTCTGTCTCACCCATTGAAAATGCACAGGACCCATGGAATAAAATTAAACACACATTTCAGATTTAATATTTCTTATAATTGACATTGAAATTATTAACAAACATGAGATTTATAAACAGCAAACAAGTGTCACATGTCACATAAAACAACTTCAGTCAGAGTCATTGTGAAATATACAGTCAGACACTGGGGCCGGTGGGTTGTAGACTTCTGTCTGACCGTTGGCGAATCTGCCGGATTTGTCAGAGGGTCAGACGTTATTCGTGAACACTGGAGTATATTGAGATTGTTCCTTTTGGTCTTTTGACTGAGTCAGCCTGGACAGTCTTTTCATAGATGCCTTATGTATGTTCTGTTTATTGGAAGAACCTTTCCTTGACAGAGGTCTACTGTTCAGATTAAAAAATGATAACATGCAGTAGCAGAGATTTGTGCCAACTGGTAATGCTTCTTCATGACTGATATTTATCATCATGGGATTGTTTTGAAAGATGCCAGTTGATGGGATGGAAGCAAAACAACATGAAAAAACCCCTGAGAGTTTGTGTCCTGTAGTTTATTATATTGTATGCACAGTGTTTGTCTAGAACACATGCACTTACACTTTTCAAATTTGACCTAGTTGTTTATGTCAGTGATCTATATGCTGACACAAAGTGAGTGCAATACTGAACAAACTTTGTGTATAACAACTTCTATTTGGTGAATGCAACGTTTCGGTACAGAAAAACAGATTCTTGTACCGTTGTCAGGCAGGAATGTTGTTAAAGTTTGTTCAAAATTTACTTCCCAACATCTAAAATGCCACTCATAGAAGACAAAGGGAGTGAATGACTATTGCTTAACACCAATTTTACCAATATTCCAGCAATATCATGGCAGGGACACCAGAAATACCCATGTGGTGAATCGAACGAGGGTGTTTTGTGTGACGGGCAAATGCTTTAACCACTAGGTTGCCCCACAACCCCCATTGACACAAAAGTCTTTCCTTATCGTATTGCTCATTTCATTGCAGGAGGAAAGACATCATGCTGATCAGCAATCAGCGCTTGTGAATAAAGGCTACTACACATTACTGAAGCCACTGTCTCGAGGCCTGTACATGCTGGAACACTATGGTTACGCTATAGAGGAGAGCACAGGAGATGTCGACCCAGAGTTCCTCATGGACATAATGGATATGAATGAAAGACTAGATGAGGCTGGATCAGACGAGGAAGTCCGAGAAATTGAGGAAGAAGTTACATCCCTTATTCAGAACATTATCAAGGATATATCATCAGCATTCAAGGACAAGGATCTGGATCTTGCAAAGAGGTTGATCATAAGATATCAATATTTTGGAAACATAGATGATAAAGTCAGAGAACGTTACAGGAAAGCTATGTAGTGAACATATTCTTTCTATTTTCCATAACAAGGATTTCTTAATGCATTGAACTTTTGAAGAAGTGGTACTCTAAAAGCAATCGGAATTGTACTATGTATAGTGGTACATAATACTATTGGCTATTGTAAATGAAATTTCTAACCCCAGGTAGTGGCAACAAAATATTAAAACACTTGGTGAGAAGAGAATTTTACAGATTATTTGAAATTTTTATACAGTGAGCATATCCATTTGCATAATAAGCCTGTAATGATACATTTTCAATTAAGTCCACAATTTGGGGTACAAGGTTAACATGGATAGGTATCAGCTTCAAAATCAAACTGATTCTGAGGTTGGGTATGGGTCCTATTAGGTCTGAAACAATAGAAACAGGATAACAATATCGCTTTAAGGAAGGAATAAGCTTCAACCACAATGATCCATGTAGATGCTTGAGCAGGTCATCCTGCGCATGCAGTCACATGACATTCATAGCCATGATGTGCTTAAGGCAACAGTTATCACTCATATGAAACTGGGATTGAGCAGTTTTGGGACAAGTATAAGTTTGTTAACAGTGTATGCTAACTAGATGAATTACATATATGTGTGTGACTTGCTGAAAGTATTTCTATTATTCAAGAATAAATACTTCCATTGATATGTTGTGTTAATGTTATACTTTATGATTATCAACATTCATTCCACTTATGCTGGGACACATAATCAAATTGCAAGCATATGTAGGTCACCTGATGAGAGGTTTTACATTGAATTTGTAAGATTGGCCATAACTAATCTTGTAGCCCATCTTTCACTGTCCATCTAATGTCAATTTCACTGTCAACTAATCCTTTCTTCAGTGTCCATCTTTCTGTGTTTCTGTCAGAACTAATTGTTTTGTCCATCTGTATGTGCTTCTGTCCTAACTAAAATAAAAAAAATTATATTCCACTTCTGGCCTAGATAATCATGTCATCCATCTTTTGTGCTTGTGTTATGAATAATCATGTTTTCCACCTTTCTGTGCTTCTGTCATAGCTAATGCAGAATGACTTTAAAGTTATTTCAATATGGCTAATTAATTCTGCAACAGGTTTATTAGAGGATTAATTACTTTCTGGTTGGTTGGTTTGTCATTTAATGCCGTACTCAGTAATAGTCCAACTATATGTAATGTAAATGATAGTCTGGACCAGGCAATCCAGTGTCCATAATAATGAGCATCGATATACTCAGTTGGGATACGATGACATGTGTCAACCAAGTCAGTGAGCCTGACCACCCGGTCCTGTTAGTTGCCTTTAACAACATGCATGGGTTGCTGAAGACCAATTCTAACCCGAATCTTCATTGGTATATCATAGGTACACAATTAAGCACTAATTGAGTTGTATTTTGAGTAGGAATCTAATAATAGCCATGAAACAAAGAATGATCTGCCAAGAGCAGAATGAAAACCAATGAACATCCAGGTTAGACTTTGTTAACAGGATCAGGGATTCAACCTCCGACATGGTTGGTTTGTGTCATCACTTCCCATTTGCACAATATTTTTTTTTAATCACAGCTTTGTGTGTCCCAGACTCGATTATTTACTGACCGCTGTCACACAGCCTGAAAAATTGCATTAAACAACAAACAGGCAAAGAAGATAACTGAGAAACAAACAACTAATTTGTGGGACAGAACCTGGACAGGTATAGTAATAAGTGTTTATGTCTTATTAGTCATCGACAAATTGTCTTGAATTATGAGGGGAATTCCAAAAGTAGTCGGCCTAACTATATTCTCAATGTCCAATGTTAGAAAAGCTTCCATTTTATTTTGAAGGAATCATTGGCAAAGTCATATCCAAAATTTCACTTATGTGGGTAATGTGGTTAACGGGATATTAGTCATCACAACACCATGGAGTATAATATTTCTCTAAAAATTGCAGAGGACTTCTGCCTATCTCAAACACACAAAATGTTTCTTTCATATTTTGTTTCCTGAAGTTTGTGATGCATTTATTGCAGATTTTGCGTTATTTGGGTGTACCAAGATAAAAAGTCAAACGAAACGGGGATCGTGAGGCTGGAACATGGCAAAAGCAATTTGCTTGAGGTTGACAGATAATATGTACAAAAATAAAACGTAAAAACAGCTGCATTTGTATAATTTTCTAGGTGAGGCCAACTACTTTTGGGACGCCCCTCCTATGTAAAGAAATACAATATCCCATGGTTTCAAAATATGAATTCTGACTTCCTTGACTAGACTAACGCTTAGTCTCTTAATACATATAATTTTGAAACCAACAAAGAAGCCCATATAAATTCAAAAGGAGCGCCAGTCAGGTGGGCTGAGGAAATCTCATTCTCTTCCCACAGAGGTTACTCCTGTCATATCTTCCTACGTAACCTCTGTTCTAATACGGCCATATTTCCCGGTTCTCGTAAAATCCCCTAGCGGCAAAAGATCGCAACACAAATTATCTCCCTTCTTTCTATCCAATCAGAACACCTGTTACATCGACTTAGATTCAACTTGACTAACACAAGCAAATGTGGGGCCACAAATATCCCCCATCTGCCGGGGACTTGTGTTGATGTTACACACAAGACGTTTAATGGCTAGTTTGTCCGTTGTCAACGAGGGCGATGGAGACGCCACTGATCCGCCATAACATAACTGAGTTCTGTCTAGAAGAAACGTTTGCGCATCGCGCAGGGGAAGAAGTTTAGTTTTCTCGAAGCATACGGAAATTACCGAGGCCTTGCGAATGATCACTTTTGAAACAACGTTGCTGATTGCACAACTAAATCTGATTGTCTCCAATCACGAGTCTTGAACGCTCACACCATGAAAGGGCCGTATTAGAACAGAGGTTACGTAGGAAGATATGACAGGAGTAACCTCTGTGGGAAGAGAATGAGGAAATCTAGACTTGCTTCATTTAGGGCTTTAGCATTGCAGGGAGGGCTAAACACGAGGAAAAATAACGTGGCTCAGGGACTGTGTGACAGACTAATCCTTGACCCAAGAGGATGTACATATATATTTCAATCTATGGCAGTCATATGTAAAAATATCCAACATTGACCAAATTTCAGGATTATACATGTAAAATGCTACAGTAACAGGAAATGAATGGTATATCCATGTTACAAAATGACCACAAAGATGACATAAGGATTAAATGACATAGCACCAACATTAGACAGGGTAGAATTTGTTAAGGCACTAACATGCCCGGTGACCATTTCTCTCAACCTGACAATGATATAAGATTGTCCTTTAAATGCCTGAACACTGACCTTGACCTTTGACTTATTTGTGCAAACATTTTCAAAGCAGCATTCCATCCTTAGATGGTACTTGCCCAGTGTTGTAATAAATGCATGAACATTTGTAGTTTAGCAAAAACCTGACTATTTCTTGACCTTGACCTTGACTTCAATCTTTCCATAAAATCTGAAATTCCTGATGGCCAATCTGAGTTCATGGAAGAATAATGCGATGAGACAAATCCAACCAGCATCAGTGGGGTCAAATTCTGGAGAAAAAAACCCCTGAAAGCTAGTGATTGAAACTCAAAATGACCTACACATTTGACTTGTCACATGACAGCAGTTAACTATCATCCAAAACTGCCTTGGGAAGATCAAGCAGTATTTTCCAGGAGATTTATCCTTGATGTAGCACGTTATCATGACATAATTATGACTATATAAATCTCTCCGGTACTGAAGCTGGTAAGCAGTACTTTAATACTCAGCATGAGTTATGATTGTTTACTAACTGAATATGTAGCAAGATTAATGTTGGATGATAAACAGAATCTTACCCATGTGTTGTTGGATGTCAGATGTAACAGACACTTATTGATCAAAGGACTCCAGGTTAGAACTGATCTTCAGCAACCCATGCTTGTCATGTAATAAATGTTTAATAAATGACCATTGAAACTCTGGTGAAAATGAAGTGTGCATCCCCCTTCCCCCCATTCTCAATAGTGCGCAACACCCACCCACCCCCTTCTCAGAAAGTTTGAGAGTTTGATTGTAACAAATACACCCATTTAAATTGAACCTGCTTCATTTAGAGCTGTAGGGAAAATAATATGGTTCAGGGACTGTGAGACAGACTAGAGTAGCCCCTCAAATACCAGCAGTGCATTTCCAGCCTGCAAACACCACTGCCAGGCCTTGACCACAAACAAAGACCATAATAACTTCATATGATGCTACTTACTACCAAATCTAAGGACTGGACAAATAAAAGGTGAATGACCTAACCACTTTTGGTTTTAACATGGAAGATTGCAAAATTATTGTGGTAGGGCTTCTTGAGATACAAACCAGGTTCCATGCATGCAACAGACGGTGTCCCTGAAATGAACAATGATAATACCATGTTCTTCCAGCAGTAAACTCTAGTGTTGTTACTGTTCACTTGCATATTCAGTGAATCAAACAGTAACCTTCCATGAATTCATTCGTTAGTCATGATCACTGGAATTAAAAAACATTATGTGTTTTTCCTTGAATCTAGGTCAAAGAAAAAGATATTCAAAATGGAGTACATGTATATGAGACAGGATAATAGTCAATACACTTATTTTTAATTTGAATGTGATGTGCTCACAGGTCTTTGTCATGATAAATTAACAATGTCAACATGTTGAAAATGAGTCAATGAATTCATTTTGTTATTGTTTCACTGAATATGATGACTAAAACTTCAGCAGCTGACTTGTTATTATGCTCATGACCCAATATTCCTATTCATTGCCTGATATTCGTGATATGTATCATATTCACCTCACGGTGGTTTGTTGTAGACCTTTAGTATTATTTATTATTATATTTTACAGAATAAAGATGAAAATGCAGCAGAGAGGGTTCGGGTGATCCTGGCACAGTCAGGCTGGTAAGGCTCATCATCAGCTCAGGGCCCTTGCCCCCTCTACACGCAGCCAAGACAGCGAATGGGACTTCTCCCAGGAAATGCTGCCTAGTCGAACCCACCAAGAACTTTCTGGAGAATATGAAGGCTCCCCAACACTGCAGCCTTCTGCATTACCCAGTGTGTCAGAAGGGCTGTACTCACGGTGGAGAACCCGGGCACTCTCCTGATCTGCGCCAAGAGATCAGGAGGCACCAAAACTAAGGGCACCGAGAACAATGGGGAGCCTGACGACAGTGTTCTTGGGATGCAAGCGAGACATTTCAAAGGGCGATGTCCGCATACTTAGTATGCTTTTCCTGAATCTTGCCAATCACATTGGTGTCAAAAGGGACAGAAATTCAATGATATAAATTCATTGGCTTTATCAAAAAGACAAGGTCAGGTTTGTTGGCTGGAATTCTTCTCAGGCAATATATGGGCCTATTCCAGAAAAGTTTGAAAGCATCATTTTCCATGACACCCTGAGCATGTTCAGGGTCGTACCATGGATGGACCTCGGAGTCAAAGCCACAGGCATGTCAGAGACGGTAGTAAAAGCAACAAGCCATCATGTCGTTTAAAGATCACATGCAACGTAAAATACAACTTTGCAGATTCTGATATCTTTCGGTATGGACTTACCGAAACAAATCATAAAAAATGCAAATTCAACTTATAAAGTTAAAAAATAACGCGATGAAAAAAAACACGCGAAATCGGAGTTCA